AGAAAAATACTGTTATACAATTGTAATACAAAAAAATTGTATATCAGTATTTTTCCGTTTACAGTAAAGTCATCTTTGAAATGAATAATTATTAATAAGAATAGTTAAATTAAAACATTTGGGTATGTGAAATATGTTTGTCTTGACTGTGGGCATAATTTAATAATAATAAATGTAATAATTTGGGAAAAAAATGTTTAATAATTTGAGTGAAATATGATATTTCTTGACAAACTTTTTATTCTTTTGCTCCTAAAATGCTTTTTTTTTGTATGTAGGCCTAATTTTCAACAGTTGCTGTAATTATCTTGCTTAAACAGTTGCCATTACTAATTCAAGTGTCCATAAGAATGTGAAGTGATATGCAACTGTATTAATTTACATCAAAAAATCTGGATCTTCAAAGCTGTGCAATTGCTGAATCAATTAGACAATGCTATAATATGAGTTAATATATATAATTCATGTATGCATAATGCTTTGTGATAAATTGTGAACGCATGCGACAAAGATGACTTGTGATGCACACCTGTGTAAACTAGATGCAGAGCGAAATTCGCTCTGAAGATGAACAGAGCTTTTGTTGCAGGCCACAGACTCGCACCCCTATTGAGCCGACAGTCTCTCGTCCACGAGTTTTCATCACGGGGTGCGTGTTTCACCCTGACAGCGCGCTCCTCCCACCCCTGTGGTATGGCTGTCTGATGTTTTCATAGCATTTACATGAGAGAAAATATTTTCACTGCTGTGTGAATCATGAAAGCAGCGGCTCCAGACAAGGCCAAAGGGAAACAAATCTCCGATATTAACACCGAATTATCTTTTTTCACACAGCAAGCCGTCTGGCCTGACAGGAGATGTAGATGGGGGACACATTAATTTGTGGTTTTACCATTTATTCATTAATAAATGACAATATCATATTATAATATTTATTTTATTTCAGCTATATTTAAATTACAGAAAATGTTTAATAGTTTAATTGTAGTCTTAGTTTTAGTTCACAGTAACAACACTGGTGGAAATTAATTTTTGTAATGACAGTATGCCACAAATGCAGTATTTGTACTGAACTCTCCAGGGAAACACCTTTAAAGTGGGAGAATTGAAGACCCTTGTAATGTCACTGTTTTTGAAAATCCTCTTATGTTTGTAACTTAATTTAGTCACCTACCTTAATAAAATGTTCCACTTATCTGTTTGATTTTATAAACAGATAAGATTTGTTTTATTGATAGGAAAGCACATCTTAAAGTCTGTTTTTATATCTCTTTTTATTACAAATGATAATTTGAAATGCTGCGGCATTTAAAATCAGTGTTAGTGAGTTATCCACATTTTTTCTTCAGCTAATCCAAGAAAAAGACACGTGTCCAAAGAAAATGTATGACAGCGGAGATATAAAGCAACACTATCTTTTTCCATTTCCATTTTAAACATTCCAGTCAGTATAGTAAGTGTGTCAAACATACAGGCACTAGCAGAGTGATTGCTGATGACTTCCTTTGCACTGGCACAGCTGCCAAAAGCCTTTACTCTATTTCTCTGTCTCTCATTCAGCTGGAGATTGTAGGGTGACTGTTAGTATATCAGATAGCTGTTATTATAAAAGAAAACGTGAAAGAAGGGGATAATGAAAGGTTAGGGGAATGGGCAGCAGGTGACTGACATGTTTCAACTAATTCTCAAGACTGAAACACAGCCAATGCAGTTCAAATGGCAGAATGCATCTCTACACATGACACACTCACTTACGCTGGGATTTCATGCCGATTGTATTCAAAAGGAACCAATTAGTTCACTAGTCTTGCCATTTTTATTCTGATGCAGTCACCCTAAGGAATAGTAAGATGAGAATGTCTTTGCACTATTAAAACTATCAATGTTAAAGTGTAGTACATTCTTCAGAATAATTTAGGATTATTGGATTACGTTTTACAAGAAAATGCCATTTCTCTTCCTTTTTTCATTTTCATTCAAATTGCTAGTAAATATCAATTTTTTTCTACAGTTTACAGTATATAGGAATGCAACTTTCAGAAATCAAAATTTAGATCTGTTTTTCGTTGACTATTTGTTGAAACTAAGCTACAAAAACAGGTTTTTCAGAAATTGTTGAGTTCTGTCCAAAAAAAACAAAAAGAACTGACCTGGTATGTTGTATGTTTTGTTTTGTTTTTATTTTTATAAAAAAATATTTGGACACTTAATGTGTGTTTCTGTTATTTTTCTATAAATAATACATTGATTTTCATATGATATTGTGTGATCTTGCCATCTAATTTTTATTTTATTGTATCCAAGTTTTTTGGATAAACTATGATTATACAGATTTGAGTTATAAGCTAAAGTGTTTTTCTGAATTTTGTGGCCAAGTACTGTAGTGCCTACAGATGGGGGTAAACTGATTCTTAATGAGTACTAACAGTGTGGTGTTGTTTGAACGGGAGAGGGTTTTTTTTATCACTTTTTGATGAGGAATAAAACAGTAGAGGTCCAGTAGAGTATTTACAAAGCAATATGATGTCACTCGATTCAGCAAGCGTAACCAGCATGCCATATGCGAACATACAATGAGATCATCTCAGAATTTAACAAGGATCAGCTGCCGTTGGTTTACGAAATAACACAGTGCAATGAACAGAGCGACCTCATTTCTTCTTAGATGACAGGCAAATTACATCGATAATAACTTTTAAGTTGATCTAAGTGCTAAAAGTTTGATCAAGAGCTTCACTACAGTCAGGGACTGATCATCAGTCACAGGCTGGAGGAACTCAAACTTCACAAATTAAGAGAGACGTGTAGATGTGAGAAGGACAAAGAAAAGGGGCTTGAAAGAGAAAAGTTAAGTGCAGTTTAATGGTGCTCACAAAAATAACCAATGGTGAACACAGAGCTGCTCTAATGAATGCAGCATTGGGCTGCGTAACCGCAGACGCAGATGAAAGTGATTGCTCACAATCCACCACAGCTCAAGATCTACGCTGTGAATTGATTGTTTGGTCATGATCAGAGCATGAACTCTCCCTCTCATTTTTCATTGGTGGTTTACATGAATGAGTGCACATCTGAGCTGACTTCTGTCCTTCACTTCCATCTTCTTTTGGCAAACTAATGTGTACAATATTGGAACACAACAAAATGGAAACTGTAAGGGTACTTTCATTTGCCTGGTTCGAACCCAAGTTCGATTGCTCCCCCCCCCCCGCTGGTTTGTATTCATACTAGGGGTGCAAAAAGTGGACAATTTCCAGTAAATTTAGGAAATATTCCGGAAATTTTGGAAACTTTCCAGGAAATTTACCGGAAATTTTCCACCCCTTTGCAACCCTAATTCATATCGTGTTTTTTCGGTTCTGAACCACGATACGTTTGTGTCATCAGAGTGGCGGCTGTTTACACCTGTTATTAGGTAACGACTGTGCAGAAGACGGCAAAATTAATGCTGCAGCATTCAGTCACGCTTTACAAGAAAGCGAGTGAGCAAACACTTTCATAATTTAGTCCGACCACTCTTTTTTTAGGTGGACTCGGGTACGTCCCTTTGCAACCCTAATTCATATCGTGTTTTTTCGGTTCTGAACCACGATACGTTTGTGTCATCAGAGTGGCGGCTGTTTACACCTGTTATTAGGTAACGACTGTGCAGAAGACAGCAAAATTAATGCTGCAGCATTCAGTCACGCTTTACAAGAAAGCGAGTGAGCAAACACTTTCATAATTTAGTCCGACCACTCTTTTTTTAGGTGGACTCGGGTACGGTTTGTGGTTGCACAATGCACACCCAAGTTCAGAAAACGGCGTTCACATTATCCAGACGAACCGAACTCTGATGTCAAGCCCAGGTGTGCACCAAAAGTGCTAGTGTGAAAGCCCCATAAGAGGAAGTGGTTTCCTGCACTGTATTTGAGTTTGGGCTCACCCGCAGAGATTGTTACCTTGAATTGTTGCTTGCTTCAGATGAACTCTTCATGCTAATAGTGCACTCTATTATTTGCAAATTTGGCCCATTGCTGCATTCATCGTTAAACTGCTAAATAGACAATGGAATTGTTTCCCCCTCTAGCTATATGTCCAATGCGTGCAGATTCCTTTTGAAAAGACAGGATTTGACCTTTGAATATTGTCTGAACAATGGTTAACATGACTGCACCTTAACATATTTAAATACATAGTGGATAAAGCTAAATTTAATCAAAATACACTATTTGCCACTTGTGCCATAAATTTGATCAAGAACAGCTGCTATAAAGATGGATCTTCGGGTACTTTGATTTGTTGGTTGAATATAGTTTTCAAGGACAAGTATAGTTGGGAGCCCTGCTTTAAATGAATATGTTTGTGTAAGAGAGAAAGAGCGAGGACAAGAAGTTTATTTTATTTTATTTACTTAGTAAAATACAGAATTTGTATTAGAGGACAACTGCTCAACCACTGCACAGAAAGAGAAAGTGAGCCACTGAAAGAGAAAGTGTCAAATATATAACAAACAAATAATGTACAGTGATATGATGCAAAGATTTGTTCACTGACAAGTCCCAGTCTTGATGAATGCCGTTGTCGTTCCATCAGTGGCTGTTGCTTAAAGTCCCTATTATTTTAAGGACATAAATGAAATACTGGTGTTAATTTTATTTTAATATTAATATTTAATATACATTTTTATTTAATATTTATTTCCCACCCCACAAATCTAGCATAATTACTTTCATTTGGACATGTGCATAAATAAATATATTATATGTGGATATTCTGGGGAAGAAGTGTTTATATGACAATGATTTCTGATTAATTAAGTCATTTGCCAGCTGTCTTATTCAGATTTCTTGAAATGTCTTACATTGTCCAATTGCAGTTGCAGTAACCACAATATAACAAATTCCAATATTAATTATAATTTTCAGTTGCATGTAAACACAATGCATAAGATGAGAACAAAAGTATGTCATAATTAGAGGAGAACGCAAGGGTGGAACTAAGAGAGTGAGATAGACAGAAGGAGAGAGTGAAAGAGATGGGTGGGGGTGGATGGGAGTGTTTGGCTGTTGTCTATGTGTACGGCAGGGGAGTTGAAGCAGTCAGGAGGGGAGAGAGGGCTGGCACGTGGAAGGGCAGTATTTCTCAGAAACAGGAGAGAGAGAGAGAGGAAAGAGAGGAGGTGGAAGCTCTCCAAGATCAGTGCGCTTGTTGTCTGACACACGCTTGCACTCACACATTCTTATGAGTTTGAGGAATCCATCGCCTGTGGTAAGAGTGACAGGAACAGTCAGCCAGGGTTGAGTCACAGCAGTGCGCATGGTTTAGACACTTTCTTCACACTGAGATCCACAGAAGCATCTCAAAACACACCCTAAGCGTAAGTGAGTTTCGGCACACTGCTCTGATGACAGCAAACTAATTTTCTTCTGTAACCGGCAATTCAGTCTGTCAGCGGATGGAGGCTGCTCGTGGTGGATTGTAAGGAGTCAGCGTGAGACTTCAAGAGGAGTGCGTGAGGATGGCATGGGGCGTATGGACCTTCATGCTTTGCGAGACACTGTGGATCTGCTCTGCAACTCAATCAGCAAAGACTGTGAATCCAAGATTACGACTATCTCACAGAGGTAAGGCAACAGGTGTGTGTGGGTGTTTGTGTTGAGCAAGAAGTTCACTCGAATTGAAGCTCATAATTTTAGACTCAATGTTTTAGATGGACATCCCAATACAGCTCTTCCAAATGACTTTATACAGGTTAAGCATATTGATTACTTTATCACTTTCCTCCACTGTTAAAATGGACAAGTGTCGTAAAGAATTAAACAAGTAAAATGTATATGTATTTATATTAACATTAGTTTTATAGTTATTACAACACAAATTGGTTTCATATGATTTCATTTGCAAAGTTTTGTACGATTTCTTTTGTAAGAATATGTAGGCCTACAATCTAATTTTGTACGATTTCGTACAATATCAGTTATACGATTTCATATGATCTCATTTTGTACAATTCCACACTATCACATTTTGTACAATTTCATATGATATTCATATAATCTACTTTTGTATGATCTCTTTCATACAATCTCATTTGTACAATTTGATAATTTTATAAAATCTAGTCTAATTTATACGATCTGCTTACGCCCCACTAAAGATAAGGTTTAGGGGGAAAAGTTTTTTTTTTTCCCCCCATTTAAATTTATACAAATTCACAAAAGCGTAAAATAGATACCAATATAATAATAATATAATATTTAAAAATATATATTTGTAAATGTTTTTTTATTTTATTTTATTTTTGTATGCTTTTGAGTGTACTACATATTTAATCTGTTAGATAGTGTGAATGAATGACAGTGAAGTTGATTATGGACATGCAAATGATTTGGATGAAGTCATAGGTGCTGCCATAAATACATCTGGATTCTCTTTTATTTGTGTTTTTCCTCACCGTTACGGTGGTTGAGCTTCTACAATGTGGTTTTCTGTCAGCTTAAGCGGTTCACTGAAGGAATGTCAACTGTTCTTTTTATTATGCTGGTCTTTCATTGGCATGTTTACAGTGAAATTCGGGGATAGATGGGGGCACCCTTTGTAGATGAACTCCCTAGCCCGAAGCAAATAGCCCATGCCTCTCAGTCTTCCTCTTTGATCAGAATGCTGTGGAAACTGTGTCATATAAAAATCCACACCCCAGCGTTGGTCATGGTCGAGAGTCCTTGTGGAATTTCAGTGCATGATAAATCAATCCAATGCCGTCTATGAGCTATCTATAAAACCTGCTCATGGAAACAACACTTCTCCTTTGAGAAAACACTGACACTATGTGCCCTGGCCAAAGGTTTTAGACTGAGGTGTGTTTGAGTGGCTTTTCTCATTAGATTCATCATAATATTGATTCTCAGTGTCATATTCAGTGGGTTGAGTGCATAGCTGCTGGCAAACTGAAGCGAATTGGGACGTTGGCGAAGGAACCGACTGGCAGCAGGGGAAATTTCCCCAGGCAAAGATAAAATGTGGAATTTCTTTCCCAATCCTCTCAGTGCCATTCTTCTCCCTGTATTTAGTTTTTTTATTTTCCCTTTTTAAACTTTTGATTTAAAGGTTGATTTTGAGGGGGAAATGTTCTACCTGATGGGACATGAAATGGCTTTCATTGTTGTCAGGTTGTTATATACATATAATTGTTCATTATTTAGATTAACTTTTTATTTTATTTTTTACTTTTTTACAGATTTGTTTTAGACATAATTTTCTCTTTTTTAGCCATTTATAGTTCCTCTCAGTGTCCATCCCCCCCCCCCATGCTTCTGTTTCTGTCATTTACTTGGTGTGCTCTGCATGTCTAGACTGATAAAGTGTTCTCTACTCAGCAGAAGAAACATTTTTGCTTGTATCCTATCATTATGGAATGAAAAACATGTATGCTTTAAATTCTGAATAACTTGAAGACCTCAGAGGTAGTTGAGGCATTTTTGTAAACCTTGGAGGCAATCACAAGAGGCTGACTTGTGGTTAAACCCATTGAGATTCTCCTCTTAAATTTGAAAGATGTCTTAAATTATAACTGGAATTAAAACCAGTAGTTGATTTAATTAAATATAGCCCTGATCTGCCTGCGGCTGCATGTGTTATGTGCTAACCAGAGTGGGATTTTTTTTGCCTACCAGACATAGTGCTTTACTGCCCAATTTACCAGACCGTTAATTATAAAACTGAGTAAAATTGCATTTGCAAATGTGCAAAGCATTAAGTCTCAAAACTGGTTTCACATCTAAGTCCTTTTTAGAGTCTGAGTAAGTCTTTTAGTCCTCAGACATTTTTAGTAGCCCAAAAAATGAAGGTAAATGGGGGTTTGGATCTCTCTTGTCCTGTTTACTGCTGTGTAGTCTTGTGGAGCTAGACCTTTGACCTTTTGTGCAGCTTATTCTGGTCAAGAATTACCAACTTGGATGGAAGAGACTGTATATCAGACATGATAATAATACAAACTGCTTTGCCATATTTCATGTCCAGAAAAATAGTATTTTTGTTGTATAGAAAATAGGGCTGAATTAATTGCCTTTGCGATAATATCGCGATTTTTCAACCGCAGAGGCTGCGATTACACTCGGTCACGTGACACACGAGAGTAAAGAGGTGTGTTTGACTTGAAGATCGATCGATCGATTTTTACCAGTGGACCCCCCTTGAAACACGATTGGGCTAGTTTTGAGTAGCAATTGGGCGGATTTTGTTGTGAAAAACTGGCAACCCTGGCACGCTACATGCGGAAATGTTTGAAAGTGTATATATGAACGTACTTCAAAACGGCACATGGTAATTCAGGGCTCCAGATTGCGACCATTTTTTCTGCCTGTTTGACTAAATTGTGTGAGTGGTCGCACTGGCGCTACCACTGCGTTGTTTAACTCATAAGCGCTGCCATTTTTGTTGCATTTGTGAAACATCAAACGGAAAACGAAACTGTAAGCATAACGAACCCACGCTACTCGTTTGAACTGCACAGCGCTTGTGTGTAGAGCCTGGTTTGTACTCGCAGCGTCAGCACCAGCGTAAAGCTGCGCGCAATTCAATTGTAATTGTTTAATTAAGAATAACAATGAATCCATCTTTTGTTTTAGTCTTAAAAAGGGAAAGGTATAGATGTAAGCAAAACAGACAATTATCTTTTCTTGTAAAACGTGACAACAAGATCTCAAATTCAAAAGCGAAAGCATCCGAAGCCCGCGGCTTATAACACAGCAAAAGAGGAACTCCCGTTCACAAAATTCAAATCACAAATAATACTACTAATGAAAAAGAACAGGTTGAATGTTAACTATAAACTATGATAAAAATTAATCTGCATGCATTGATTAATCCCATGTTGTAGCAAAAACGAAACAAAACAAAACAAAAAACTATTGCGACCAAATCATGCGCTCATGCGACCAACTGATAAAGTTGTTCGCAAAAGAGCTACCAGTGGGAAGAATGAGTCTGGAGCCCTGAAATTACTCAAGCAGTAACAGTGTTACTGTGCATTTCATATTATAAGGTAATATAAAATCTTATATAATAAGGTAATATATATATATATATATATACAGTGGGTACGGAAAGTATTCAGACCCCCTTAAATTTTTCACTCTTTATTATATTGTCTAAAGTTAACAGTGTTTAAAAAGTGCAGGCCACATGTTTACATTTGTTTATTGCAGTGACTTTGAATTACCTAAAGTAGTGTGGTAAAGCAACAGATTGTTTTTATATTTCTGCAATCTACTTTAGTTTGTGTGATTTGTTACTGACTTTTATATTAATGTTTACACCAGGCTTATTTGTCAGTTCTTTATGTTGTCATAATTATTACATGCTTACAAGGTTGGAAGTTCAACAAATCAGTCAATATACTACTGTGATTGTAGTTGTTAAATAAAAATGGCATTCATATCAGTTCATGCATCACCTAATTTCATCGTAACATATAGGCCTTGCCTACAGAAAAGAACATTTATGTTTAATCTATCTACTATTGTGTTGGTCATACTATACAATGATTTATAGCTTGTCTTTGTTGAATAATACAGAACATAAAGAGCTTTAAATAATTGCATATTAAATCTTAATATATTAAATATTGGTAAAAAAATATCACAATTAGATTATTTTCCAAAATCGTTCAGCCCTAATAGAAAATATAGAATAAATTGTTACTTTCACAAACATGCATTTTCTTTTACTTTTTGTTTTCTTTCTTTTATTAATCGGCATATTTTTTTTTTGTCAAAGACATCTTATATCACCCACTACATAAACTGTCAGAAAGTATGTGTTAATTTCCTTGTGCTAAAAGTTTCTTTTTACCACTGTAAAGTCGTAACAGTGGGAAAATTCTGTCTGAGGATTTTCTATCAATTTAATTAATTTCTTTAATGACAGTGGTTGCTTATACCACAAAGTTACCACATTATACTGTATTAACCGATAGAAAGTATTTGAGTCATTACTATGGTATATTTTCCTAAAGGTACTGTTTGTGGACTTGTCAATTCTCCTAGCCAGCAGATGCTTGCAGCAACCTGTGTTTTGTTTGCTTGAGTGGAACGTATTTGACACGCTTATCAATATCTATAGAGCTTGAGTTTGTCTCCTCTCTGGATTTTATGAATGCACTTTTGTTTCCTGCTTTACTAGAACAAGTAGCTCTGGTTACATTTCAGTTTGTTGCATTGAAAAGCTACTACAGTGCAAAGTGCTTTTCTTCTTAATGAAATACATTTTCATTTGTGTAGGCTGGAGAGTTTCAGTGGGATTTTAAGCTTCTAAATTTGTTTCAGTAAGCATATTAACCCTCGGTTAGGGCTTGACACACACTAATAAAAGGACAATGTAAAGACTGGATTTGATCTATTCCTGTGATGTTTCAGAGTTGCAACCTTTGCGTGATGCTTTTCAAGTGGAAAATGGAGTTTAAAAGGGAATTCGCATTTCAGATTTAAGGGCAAGGTGCTGCTGCTCTGCTTTGATTTGGCTAAGGTTTGCTTAAAGAACTAAAAGTTAGCTACAGCAAATGCTAATTAGGTGTAAAGGAATCTTATTTTAAAAAGCCATGTTTTGGCTTCATTGTCTAACAGCT